TCAAGTGGATTCGATCGCCGACATGTGTGAGAAGGAGTTCGGCAATAACTTCTAATTCCTCAAGCACCGCGGCCCGAGCCGGAAGCTATGAGCTGCGCCGCTGTAGTGCGCCACAACGTTCTTCCTCGTCCACGCCAAAACGCAACCCTGTCACACTTCCGTCGCCAGACACCATCGCCGCCACCACCCCCACTGACGTCCTACCGTTCGCGAGTGGGCCAGCGCAGTGCGCCGAGGAAAATTGACATTTCGCGTGAACCGGACAACCGCCCGCTCTGCTATCACTGCGGCGAGGTCGGGCACACCTATCACCGTTGCCAGTACCGACAGATGGGACTGCGTGGCTTCGCCGTCAATGCGCCATGTCTGCAGCCAGGGGAACGGCCACGCGACATCGCTGACTACCTGACAGAAACTCAATGGGCACCACGAAGTCCTTAGCGTTCACCGTCGCCCAACCGCCGCATGTCAGCGCACCACCAGCAGTACTCTGGCCTAACGCGGGGCCGGTATCCTAGCCCGTATCTGGGAAACTATAGGCAGACTGATGGAGGTGCGGTTGCTGTGCGACGAACTACCGAAAATCCTCCTCCGATAACGACAACGCAATGAAGCTTTCTGAACACGACGCCAACCAGGCAAAGTCCTGACTACAAAGCCTCACTTACCGAAGGTGAAGAGACGACGCAACATGGAAGCAGCGGAACAAGCCGACGCAGCCGTGACCCGATGCCACGCCCTAACTAACAACGCGAGACGGAGAACTAGCGACCTCGACGTTATTATCGACGGTCACATGCAGTTTAACCACTCTCGTCGATACTGGAGCCGACTATTTCGTCATCAGCGGGTCGTTCGCCGCAAAGTTGAGGAAAGTTAGGACAGCTTGGGAAGGCCCCGAAATCCGCACAGGCGGAGGTCAACTAGTAGCGTCGGCAGGAATCCTGCACACCAAGAGTCACTATTAACGGCCGTATTTATCCTGCAGACTTCGTAGTCCCACAGCGTTGCTCGAGAGATGTCATCCTTTGCATAGACTTCTTATGCCTCCATGGTGCAGTCATCGACCTAGGAACTCAGTCGATAACGTTATCCACAGAAGAAGCACTACCGCTGGGCACGCCATAAGGAAACCACGCCATAAATGTGCTGGAAGAACAAGTCACCATTCCGCTTCGCTCCAGCTTCATTATTTCAGTCGGCGCTCCTAAATCACCTGACTTGGAAGGCGTCGTTGAAGGCAGTGTGCATCTGTTGGTCACCCGTAATATTTGTGTCTCAAGAGGAATAGCAAAGCTGCGGGGAGGTAAATAAACGGTTATGCTCACGAATTTCAGCAATGAGTACAAACACGTGAACAAGGGAACTGACGGTTGCATACATCGAATCAATTGTGGAAGCCCCTAGTGCTTTTGCCCTCGCCGATTCTGCGGAACCTGCTCAGAGGAACCAAGCCCCTCCCTCAGCTTTTGACGTGAATCCCAGCATTCCGAGTAATAAGCACGAACAGCTCAAGACCGTGCTCCTGCAATACGAAGATTGCTTTTTGTCGTCATCGAAAATTCGGCAGACTCCAATCACGAAACATCGCATCATAACCGAGCAAAATGCCAGACCACTTCGTCAGAGTCCGCACAGGCTTTCGACGCGAGAACGTGAGGCCATGAAGAGACAAGATGAAATGCAGCGGGATGACATCATCCAGCCGTCCAAGAGTCCATGGGCGTCCCCCGTGGTGTTAGCGAAGAAAAATAATGAAACCCTACGTTTCTGCGTCGATTATTGCCGCCTGAACAAAATCACAAGAAAGGACCTGTATACTCCCCCACGAATGGACGACGCATTTTATCGGCTTTATAACGCAAAGTACTTTTTGTCAACGGACTTCAAGACTGGCTATTAGCAAATTGAAGTCAACGAAAAAGACTTAGAGAAGAGGGTATTTATAACACCGGACGGCCTCTTCGAGTTTATGTGATGCCCTTCGGTCTTTTCTCAGCGCCTGCCACTTTTCAACGTTTTATGGATACAGTACTAGCAGTATTAAAGTGGCAGACTTGCCTTGTGTACATGGACGACGTCGTCATGCTTTCCTCGAGTTTCGACGAGCATCCTTCGGTGCCTTGAAGCTGTACTTCAAGCCATCAAGACGTCCGAACTCACTCTGAAGCCAGAAAAGTAAAGATTTGCTAATGAGGGGCTCTTGTTCGTGGGGCACGTGATTAGCAAGTCTGGAGCTCATCCCGATCCACGGAAAACAGCCGCCATCGCCAACTTCCCGCCGCCTACTGACAACAAGGCAGTGCGCGGATTTCTGGGTCTGTGCGCCTGTTATAGGCGGTTCGTTAAAAACTTCACCCACATCGCCAATCCACCCACTAAAACTTCACCAAGGCCAAGGTGTAGTTCAAGTGGGAAACGCCGCAGGAACACGCTTTCCAGAAGCTTAAACATCGCCTCCAGACGCCTTCGTTACTTGCCCGTTTCGACGAATTCACCGAGACAGAAATACACACTGACGCAAGCAGCGTAGGTTTTGCTCCGTTCTTGTGCAGAGGGTGACGGACTGTAAAGGGTTGTTAGTTACGCCACCCGATCGCTATCGAAAGCGGAAGCCAATTATTCCACCACCGAAAAGAAGTGCATCAACTGGGCTACTTCGAAATTTTGCGCCTACGTCTACGGCAGGCTCTTCAAAGTTGTGAGTGACCACCACGCCTTATGTTCGATAGCTACCTTGAGGGACCCTTCAGGTCGCCTCGCACGATGGAGCCTGAGACTTCAAGATTATGACATCACCGTCGTTCACAAGTCCGGAAAGAAACGCTCCAACGCCGGCTGTCTCTCTCGTGCGCCTGTCGACCAACCACCGCCCGACGACCCGGATGACGACTACTTCTTGGGAACGATAACTTCCGACGACTTCATTGACGACAGTGGGCCGACCCGGAACTTAAGGCCCTAATAGAATGCCTCGAAGGCAGGACTGTCGAAGTTTCGAAGGTATTCAAGCGCGCACTTGCGTCGTTCTTCATGTGAAACGGTCTTCTCCAAAAAAAAAAAACTTCTCACCGCTTCGAGTCAAGTACCTCCTTGTGGTACCTTCAGCTCAGAGACCAGAACTCCTGTTGGCCCTGAATGACGATCCGCAGCAGGTTACCTCGGTTGTTTCCCGCACGCTCGCGAGGACACAAGAAAGGTACTACAGGTCACGTCTTACCGCCGACGTCACTCGTTGTGTGAGGAAATGCCGGGATTGTCAGCGACGCAAAACACTGCCGACAAGGCCAGCGGGACTTCCGCAGCCAATTGAACCACATCACCGACCATTCCAGATGATTGGTATGGACCTATCTGGGCCATTCCCGAAGACGTCGGCTTTCGGAAACAAGTGGATGGTGGTAGCTACCGACTACCTCGCCCGCTATGCCGAGACAAAAGCCCTGCCTAAAGGCAGTGCATCTGATGTAGCTGAGTTCTTCATCGAAAATATCGTCCTAAGTCACGGCGCCCTGGAGGTCGTCATCACCGACAGAGAAACGGCATTTACTGCTGACCTAACTCAAGCGATCTTTGCATACAGCCAGACAAACCTCCGCTGGACAACAGCGTACCACCCACAGACCAACGCCCTCAGCGAGCGGCTAAACAAGACGATCGCTGACATGCTGACAATGTACGTGGATGTCGAACACAAGACTTGGGACGCCATTCATCCGTACGGGATCTTCGCATACAACACGGTGGTGCAGCAGACGACGCAGATATCTCCGTACAAATTGGTCTATGGAAGGAGCTTGGCAACGACGCTCGATACTATGGTACTCAATGTTACCGACGAAAAAAACCTCGATGTGAGTGAGTACCTTCAACGCGCCGAACAAGCCCGACAAGTCGCGCGCCTTCGTATCAAGAACGAACAGACGACCGACAGCCGCCGTTACAGTCTTCGACGACACTTTATGGAATACTAGCCCGGCGAACGTGTTAGGGTGTGGACGCTGATACGCCGACATGGCCTTAGTAAAAAGGTTCTGCGACGGTACTTCGGGCCGTACAGGATTGTTCGACGCCTCAGCCCACTCGATTACGAGGTTGTCCCCGACGGCATTACGACCTCTCAACGACGCCGATAGCAATCTGAAGTCCATGTCGCGCGCATAAAGCCTTTCATACGCGTTAATGAACTGAAACAGTGTTTTTGTAATATTGCTGTATCGTAATTTATTCCTTGTACTTTCTTGCATTATAGTTGTACCTTCATATTTCGTTAAAGCAATGGGACGATGCCTTTTTCAGTGGGGGGCAATGCCACGTTATTTTTCTGAAGTTCTGTTATCGCCCCAATACACTACACAATTCTCAGCGCAAACCACGCCTGCAGTTTTTGAGAAGCTTCAGGACTGTAGTAGATCATCTCGATAAGATCGTGCCAACACCGCGAACTGTACAGATTATTCTGAAACCTACGTCACCGCTAGCGAGAACGCTAGAACATTCGCTGGCAAGTGTAGAAATGCTGACGCGCTTCGCCCCTTGTGAGTTGATCGACGGCCGACGCTGCATGCACTGCTATCAGTACAAGTGTGCTACCGTACCCGGACTTTCCGTTTAGTAGGCACAGGTTCGCCCAAATAAACAGTTTGATCTAACCATTTCATTGCCTGCCTGAACACGTCACGATGCCGTGACAGTATAGTCATTCCGTATAGTCGATGAGTACGTTGTTTCTGACCACGACAGCAATGCTGGTTCTTGTATGAACTATTGCGTCATCGTCTACTACCTCGAGCGCACCGAGTTTTCACACTCAAAACGAGGAGATGATTTTTTTTTTTGAGATGGGTACACGTTTCCTTTTAGTTGATCGCTTCACTCTTTGCCTGCAAAAAGTATATTTCTGTAGTCGCATCAATGCAAATTCTAACAGAACCACCAAAATGGTGACGCACGTGAAGCCACGTATTCCGATTCCAGCAGTGCAATGTTTAGCAATCCGCATGTGCAAGGACGCTCATACAGGGTCTCCTGCAGTTCTCACTGGTGGCTCTCTTCGAAGAGTAAGCACTTTCTTTAGTTTTATAGCAAGCGGATAAATTAGTAATTGGCGCCTGCAGTGTCTACCAAAGCAGTAGTTTTACAGCCGTCTCTGAGTACCAACAAGACGGAAGCCACAATTCTATTGCTGCACGAGCTTTAAAGTCCATCTTCATATTAAGGAATCAACGCAGAAGGGTCTATTTTTGAGTCAGCTGTGAGCTCACCTGCACAGGTCGCCGATTCTGTTTTTCTCTAAGTGGGCTTTGGAGACTTCACCTGTTATAAATCGGGGATTAACGTGGGCTCGGTTATTGATAGGCATAGATCAGCGGGGCTCATGACCATGGTTGATGCTGTTGCGGGAAGTGGGGGGTGGCGTGAATCCTTCAGCAGGGGTGGCGTGAAGTGACGCGTGGGCAACTGGGTGGTTGCCTGAACGAAAGCACGGGCAGGGGTTCCCCGTGACGACCTCGACATACAAGATTACGGGCCGCGTCAGTGGTAACGCATCAGGCTGGGCTTGTGGCTGCTTCCCCCGTTTTTCTGCTGTTGCCGTTGGGTAGATTTGAAAAGGATCAAAATGTCGCGTTAAGTGTTATGCAATAACGTTTAGTGTTAGCACAAAATGTGTAGCCAAATAGCAAGCAAGTGATATGTGTAGTTAGTTGTTAGTATTCAACTGCAGATATTACGATTTTAATAGGCAAAAAAGGGGTATACGAATCACCACATTCTTCTGTCTTGTTTGTTTAGTTTTTTACCGCTAGTGGTTTGTCGATATCAGGAGCACTACTAGCGGTATGGCGCGAAGGGCGCACTTTGAAAGTCGGCGCACCAGTTATTTCGAAGCGCTCGCGTGTCTACAACCTTCACTTCGCCCTTCAGGGCATTGTCGCCCATGCCTGCTCACATATGCCTGTGATGGGTTCAGTATGTAAGCCTTCTGCTTTTCCTACACAGCTGGTGTTGAAGTTACAGAGGGCACGAAGGTCAATTAGCTCGTTGCAGCGGTTCCATTTGCGAAGAATTATTCAAACGGTGTGAACCAATAACTATTGCAGTTGTCAGTACACGCTTCTCTTATGTATACCTGTGCATACGTTTCTTGCGCCCTTCTTTGAGTTGGAGCAGTACGCTTTTAGCGTTGGTCCGCGAACATTGTTAGTTCGCTCTCGTCTTGTGTGTCTTCTTTTCGTGCGACCTTTGTGCTTGAGCAGCGTGTTGCACGTTTCGATTGGCTGCTCGTTCTTTGCATGACATTTGAATGTGTTGCCATCGCATTCATTACATCACCCATCCAGCGAAAACAGCACTTTTTTTTTTACTCAGAATAACTTTTTTACTCAAAACATATCATCAAATGCCTAAAAGCATTTGAAAATATTTAGCAACCCTCATGCGAAAAGACGCTCGTGTTTCATGAGTATGCGCTTTATTTTACCACTGTCGTTTCTTATAACAATGCGGCTGTAAATGACGGTTGGAATTGTGAAAAATTGTCACTGAAGAGTGCCGCTAAACTGTAGTTACAGTGGCCTTTTGTATGCCTTTTCTGCTGGCTGCCGCACAGTGAAGACCTGTTGCCGGCAATAATCATTCCTGCTACCGGCATGAATAATTCGAAAACACGTGTCAAGTGAACTCATAAGTTGTAGCTTGACGGTTGCGTTATATGCCCTGCAAAACAGCTCGAGGTCACCCAACTGGCTCGATTGGATGCGATTCATTATTTATACTGGAGGTATATGCTCCTCTTCGCTAAAAGGCGCCGCTTACGTACTCTGAGGGCAACCAAAAGCGTCCCAAACACGTCAACACATCCGCATTTCTCAAATTAGAAAGTAGGCTAGGTGTCCCGTATGAGTATTCAAACGGTCAACTGCCTTCTAATAAGAAACTAATTGCATGAATATTCAACATTATTTCACATTAGGAGGCCTCCATTATGGCTTTACATTACGTGCAATGCAACCAAATGAGTACTGTAGTTGGCATAGAAGAACGAAGCCTTGGAAGGAAAAGGAGAGTACTTAGAAGAAAGACGCTCTTCGTTGGTGTTTCTTCTAAGTAGTCTTTTTTCTTTCCAAACTTTTGCTCTTCATGCCAAATGTCAAACCAACTATCCCAACAATTCCCTATTCCTAGTACTGTTCTTTCCCTAAGCAGGTTTCCCTAATCTGCAACTTCGCTTCTCTGCGATGCAGTTGGTCCCTAATATTGGCAGCTATCCTCATGCTAAAAGCAATGTTTTCGAGCACAGTTTGCTTGCGCTGTTATGTGGACAGTGTTGACTCGGCTGTCTTGATATAGACGCAGATAATAGACAAGTTCCAGCATGGAAAACTAACACCTCAATTACACTTGAAGCACTACCGGGGCCATTATTTTTAGGGTGAGTATGCGTCGCAGAGAAGCGCCCTTGTGTATTACAAAAGTCTATTATTACAGTACATGTAAGCAGAGTAACTATGTATGAAATAAAAAAAAACGTAATATATATCAACTGTTCTTATCTGGATAAATGGGCTTTTATATAAAAGGTTCTAGAAGTTAAGCACACATTCTGCTGTTTCTTGGCTACTTCAGCCAGGTGCGATTTCTCGTTAGGCCACTGATGGGCGTTTTATTAAGTCAATGTGGTGGTTTTGTGCTTACGCACTCTGGCAACCCTTAGTCAAACAGATGGAGTTGTAGCACATAGGAAAGTGTAAATAAATGGAACTTTCTAGCAAGCCTACAAAAAACACAGAAATTGAAATCAAATTACGTAATTTTATTGATTAGCGCGTCGTTTAAACATCCATTTTTCTATATAAAGAAGTTTACGGCAGAGGCTGTATTCTTTATCATTACAAAAAACTTTCACAGACTTTTGCAGTGAACAAATCACGATGCAAAACCTAAGCATCGGTCTTCAACAGAGGATGTTTGTAAAGTACAAGGAGAAACGTTCATTATTTTCTATACTAGTCACCGTGTTGGTGTCCTTTTCGTACTTTTTTCGGAATTTTCGTGTGTGGAACGCTGTTAGGGGCAGGTACACTATATTGCATGTATTCACTAAAATATTTCAGAACGCAGTGATGGTAGGAATGGGGGCACGACTTCTGTCTCAAGCCGCTTGCAAATCAAATGTTTGCGTTATGACACCACTGAAGGCAGTGGTTTAGACTCGAAACACATCCAACATATTCACCTAAAGTATGATATAGGCGTCGTTAAGCTAGGTCGCACAGTTGGCGTACTAGCAAAAACGGGGGACAACGCGCACGTGCATAAAAAATAAACATAACCTCGCAGGATGCTGAAGCCGAGAAGCAGTCACTGCAGTCTCAAGCCAGTGAGCTAGCGGCCAAGTTGGCCGACGCCACCCTCCAGATGGACGATACGGCGGATCAACTCACGAAAGCACAGGTAAGCAGCCATTGCAAACGAAACGAAGACGCATGCTGTGAACGTATGAGCATTTGTACCAAAAGAACAACGCGAGAATAATTTCTTCTTCGTATTTCTGTGGTTTCTCTGGCTATACAGTAAAGTATATAGTCCCGTTAGCCAGTTCATGTAGGGAGCCAATTTTAACGAAGACGACGCGACACACTTAGCATGGTAAGCATACACGCAGAAGCTAGACGTACGGCGTAGAGTGAAGTGTGCGTCCACGTTCTGTTTTGGTGCCGTCTTCATGCCGCAGTTGAAAACTAGCTGCATATGTCTATATGAGTCCCTGTGCCTGCTTTTTTAAAACAAAATAGCGTGGCTCATGTGCTTACTGAACTAGCAAGTAAGCGAGGCACTGTCGCTGGTATTCCAGCGACTCAGCTATTGAAAAATACCAGAGTTACGTTTCGACTGTGCCATGGCCGAAACGTAAATCTATAAAGGAACTGCACGCTTTCTCGTTCGTGTATCAGTTTATATATGTCATAATCATCATCACCTTGACTACGCGACTGCAAGGCAAGGGGGGATATTACCATGATCCGCCAATCAACCGGGTCTTGTACTTTATGTTGCCACGTTATATCTGCGAACTTTTTAATATCATTGGCACGCCTAACTTTCGGTCTCCCCCTTGTGCGTTTGCCTTCCCTGAGAATCCTATCAGTTGCCATTATTGACCGGCAGTTATCCTGACTACGCGCTACGTGCGCTGCCCATGTCCATTTCTTTTTTATTTCAACGATGATATCCCTAACCCCAGATTGTTTCATGACCCACTCTGCTCTCTTTTTGCCTCTTAAGGTTAAACCTATCATTTTCTTAGCTATGCATCGGTCGCTGCGTTGTCCTGAATTTAAGCTGAACCCGCTTTGTAAGCCTTCATGTTTCTGCTCAGTAGGTATGTATTCGCAATATGTAGCTGTTATATACATTCCTAGTGAGGGATTAGTGGCACATTACCACTTCATAATTTGAGAATACTTGCCGATTGTGCTCTGTCATGCTCTGTCATGCTCTGCCATGAATTATTGCTCTGTCATGTTTCAGCTCAACGATTTCTACCTATCCTAAGTAGACATATTTCTTTACAAATCCCTGCGTCTCATCACCGATCGCAAAGCGCTGTTTTCTGTGGAGGCTGTTACAAATGATTTAGTTTTATGCATATCAGTTTTCAGGTCTAGTCTTCTGTTTCCAGTGTCAACTTCCGTAGTCATGAGCTGTTATTTCGTACACTGAGTTACTCATTGAGGTAATGTCATCAGCGAATCCCAGGTTACAAATGTACTCTTCAATAACTGTTATCCCCAATTCTTCCCAATATAGGAGCCTGAAAACCTCCCGTAAACACGCGGTTCTTAGTATTGCAGAGATCGTGTCGTTCTGCCTAGCAGCCTTCTTGATTGGGATTCTGTCGCGGTCCGAATGGAGAACTATGGTGGCTGTGGATACATCGTGGATTTCTTCCAGTATGTTTATGTATACATATAGGATTCGTCGATTCCCTGATTTCGTAGCGCCTGCATCACTGCTGATGTCTCTACTGAGTCAAAAACCTTCTCGTTATCTACGAAGGCTATGTATAGGGTTTGGTTGTATTTCATGGCTGTATTCCATGCATATCCCTATCACCTGATTTATAGTAGGAATAATGTTCATTGGGGAGTAGCCTGGATGACGTCCTGCTTGGTTTTTTGGTAGATTGAACTCTAATGTCAGCTCACATTCCATTAGTTAATATATTTGTGAATAGTTTGTAGAGAACAGAAAGTAAGCTGATAAGCCTGTAATTTTCGCAGTCCTTGACGTCTCCTTTTTATGAATTAAAATTATGGTGGCATTCTTCCTAGACTCTGGTAGTCTTCCTGTTAAGGACACTTCGTATATAAAGTGGTCAGCTTTTCATGACACAATTTCTCCGCCATCTTTCAGCAAGTCCGTTGTTGCCTTACCCTAATCAGTGACTTTGCCTCTTCGAATTGCTTTCGGGGTTTTCTCCTCTTCCCTTCTCGTTACTTGTAAGATGGCGAATTCCTCTGGGATGGTATAGCTTCTCACAATGTCATCCTGGTGTTTTCGGCTTCTGTACAGCTCTCAAAAACTCCTACGCCACACTCAACTACCCTTTCCGTATCGGTCATGACATTGCCTTCCTTTGCTCTTAACGCGCAGAGTGTGTATGTGTGTGTGTGCATGCGTGTGCCTGTGCGTGCGTGTGTGCGTGCGTGTATGTGTGTGCGTGCGTGCGTGCGTGTGCGTGTGTGTGCGTGCTGCGTGCGTGCGTGCGTGCGTGTGTGTGTGCGTGTGTGTGTGTGTGCATGCGTGTGCCTGTGCGTGCGTGTGTACACGCGTGTGCATGTGTGTGTGCGTGTATGTGTGTGTGTGTGTGTGCATGCGCGTGTGTGTGTGTGCGTGTGTGCGTGCGTGCATGTGCGTGTGTGTGTGTGTGCGTGTAAGTTTGTGTGTGTGTGTGTGTGTGTGTGTGTGCGTGCGTGTGTGTGTGTGTGTGTGTGTGTGTGTGTGTCTACACACTGTTTCATAATGATTGAGTATCAAGGGGAGGAGAGGAAGCAGTGGTGATTAAAAGCAATCTATCATGTTCAGTGTTAGACAATATTGCAGACCACGACAGTTTACGGTGCAGAATCACATGTTGTGAACAGAACATAATTTTGTTCGGCATGCACAGAGCTTCGGATGCTGAGGCGGACTATCTTAAAAAGCCACACCTATTCAAGGTCGAAACTCATCCTCGCGGGGGATTTTAATAACTTGGAATAAACTGGAATACTCTTTCACATGACAAACGAGAAGCACGAAGTACGGATTCACTACTCCACATCTCGTTTGGTGTTTATTGCTGGATTAAATGGTGACTGAAGCTACTAAAGTAAGTTCGTCTTTATCGTCGCTCCTTGACCTTCCCTTTGTAAGCAGTACGCTACATGGATGCACTGTGTCTACAGAAAGTGGCATGTCAGATCAAAAATCGATCATCTAGTCTGCTCCCTTATCAACAGGCCGACACCACAAAAAACTACTACTCATGTTCGTTAAAAAAATTGGTGAGCGCAGACAACCCTGCTGTGTTTCGCTTCCTACTTTGTGCACTTAAACGAAATTAGAGATGTCAACGAACTATGATCATGTTTTAAACGCATCATGTCTTTTTATGAAGCGAGTTCCCACAAAATAAAAAAAAACGCATCAACCGTGATTAACTTTGGTTTAATCGGCACATGATAAGCATGAAAAGAACAATAAAGCGTCTACAAAAAATAATATGATATGTGGGGTTTAACATCCCAAACCATCATATGATTATGAGACGTGCCGTAGTGAACGGCTTCGGAAATTTTAGTCACCTGGGGTTCTGTAAAGGGTGCTCAAATTTCAGCTTATGGGCCAAAAGCATTTGGTCGACGAAAAAAAAAGAAAACACAGAAATCGAGAAGTATTTGCGGTTTATTATATTCTTATATCTTCAAAATAACCTTATCTCGACTCTGCAACAGAAAGTCACTGATGCTAAGTTGCGCTTTCACAACGTTACTTTATCATCATTCATGGAACACAGCCCTCAGAAATTTTGGCGCCACTAGGCTGTTCAACGTGGAACTATTTCACAAATAAATGTCCGTGATCGCATTAACTATTTTTGAACCACGAAGTAATGCAAATGGACTAAACTTGTAGTTTTTTTTTCAATCTGTTTCCACAAAATCTTTCTTCTATGCGCCTTTGGAACGATACGTGTTGCTAGTTTTCATGTCGGAATTTACCATAAGTGAAGTTGTATTTTCTCTACTAGAAAAACACAATGGCAGCATGTCCACGGAGTGAATGATGGAGAGTGGAGCGAAGCATCCGTCCGTCCATTCGTTCTTGCTTCCGTCCGTCCATGCGTCCGTCTGTGTGACCATCCGTGCGTCCATCCGCCCGTCGTGCGTGCGTCTGTTCGTGCGTCCGCACGTCCATCTGTGCATCCGTCCCTTCGTTCGTCCATGCATCCGCCCCTGCGTCTATCCATGCGTCCATACGTCCGTGCAGCCATCCGTGTGCCTGTCTATGCATCCGTCTGTGTGTCCGTTCGTCCATCTATTCAACACTCCAAGTACCGCCATCTCGCATATTTTAATCATATATTCCCCATATACAAGCACCGCCATCCAGCAGACACTTCAAGGACTAAACGAGAGATGGCACAAGCACACTTTCTCACAGCTTGTGCTTCGGGTCTACTTCCCACATTTAATCTCCTCGAGTTCATGGTATATACTAGTTCATTGTATCCATGGCACTGCGGCTCAACGCTCGCTAAACCTTTTTAAAACTAAGGAGGTTACACCGAGCTAGTATAACGTAGCAACCTTTTCTTGTCAGATGGTGCTCAATGTACATTCCAATGGCTGCTGAAGGGGACTGAGAGACACGAGCATTCGGCTTTTAGTTAACGTGCACGCCGCGAACTTGTTATTGTTCAACAAAGCACAGGAGAAATCTTTCACCGGCACCACATGCAGGTCAAAATGTAACACTGGTTACACACTATGACTATGACTACAATGACGGACGAATGGGTGCCACTTTAAGGAGCTTCGCGCCTAAAATGGCTCGGTAGAATCGTCTCGATGACATCGGTCGAAGGATGTACAATACCGGAGGATTGAAGCAATACTCTGACCTGTTATTGCGGTGGTTTCGTTCGCATGACATGTTGCAAAACTGGTATAGTAGGCATGACACAAGCGACGGACCCTAACATGAAAATGATGACATGTCTTCAAAACACTTGCTAGACCCTATTTAGAGTACGCTAATTTGATCCGGTGCCTTTACCGAAAAGATCTATTTGATAAAATAGAACGCATACAATATCTAGCCACCAGATTCATATATGCCGAACATTCTATACAACGAAGGGTCTCCGAGATATTATCGAAAACTAAATTTGAACAAGTTTCACAATGAAGAATAGTTTTAAAACTTAAATTCATTTGTGTGCTGTCCCATGATCATTTTGAAATTCCGATGTCTCGTCATTTACGTCATAATTTTTTACACTCATCGAGAGCAAGCCACAGTAAGATAATCAGACAATCCTCAAGCCGCATTAGCACTCACATATATTCACTCTTATCTTCGGCTATTGGCCAATAGAACATGTTACCGGATAGTGCTGTGAATGGCACTACTGTGTAATAATTTTTTGCAGAGGGGCAGGCTGTTTATTTCTGTTCATGGTTGTCACTTTCTGTTTATTCACGAACTGCTATAATTTTTCGGTAACCACTCCGGCAACAGCCCACAGAGATGTTCAAACAAATGAATCAATAATCAAGTAGTATGCAATATATATATATATATATATATATATATATATATATATATATATATATATATATATATATATATATATATATATATATATATATTTATATATATATATATATATATATATATGTATATATATATGATAGTTTCGGCCGGTCTTGCGGTCAAAACGTAAAGAAGCCTTTCTGTTTTTCGACGTGTTTCTGCTTTTTATTCATACTATTTACCGGCGTCCAAAAATTTATTCCCGCCGCTGGCAATATATATATATATATATATATATATATATATATATATATATATATATATATATATGAGGAGAGAAGAGAGGAATTACATCGGAAGTAACAGCGGTTATTTTTATTTGGCATTTTCGACTCAGTCACTGGTCGGCATCTGGAGTTTGAATCATGTTTGCGAACATCATACCTGTATGAACGGGGGTAAGATAACCCCTAAAAGTTTGTGTGTGTATATACATACATGTTTGTGCGTGTGCGTCCCGGGATCATCTTTGTGGTTGGTTGACTCGTATGTTGTTCTTTCTTGCATTGTAGGAAGAAATAAGCTCTTTACGCGCGGAGCTGGAAAGGTCTCAAGAGGAGACGGAGGATCTTGTTCGCCAAGTAAGGCTCAAAGTTTATATGCCGTCTAACACTGGTAGCAATAAATAAGTGAAGGCTACAGTTCATATAGAAAGAATTAGTCACTGCAAAACGCTGCGGCATTTTAAAGAGATGCAAGCGGTGGTTCGACTCAATGGTGATCTTGTCAAACAAAAAAAAATGAATCTATTGTACTTAGCATAAATGCGCTTTTCTCTACGAATGAAGAGAGCATCGGAGAACCGATAATGTGCGTTTGTTTGCCTGCCTTTTTTGGAAGACTACGTGCATGCTCCCTTTTCTCTTGTTTTTTTTTCATCTTTCAAACTCCCTCCTTCCTGCCACGTGTGTAGGGTAGCATACCAGACGTTCTAGACGGGTTAACATCCCTGCTTTTCCTTTCCCTCATGTTCTTCCTATTTTTCTTTTTTTATGTTAGCTTACAAACCAGATCCACATTGCAAAATTTTGGTCAAGCTATTGGCCTGAATTTGCTCTGGTGAAGCTTTCAGGCAGCAACCTTAGCGTGACTAGACATAATTTGCCGAGAGATGTGTTTTGTAAAAAAATGACTTTTAATAATAACTTGTGAAGTGTTTCTTAGCATTTGGAAACTATTATTTTTTTGTAACTATGGCAGCGTTTCAGGACGTAGTGAGTACACAAAAGGCTGTTTTGTGGGAAAACTATGACGCTCAGGTTTCTATCTCCTTTGTTAATATAGGTTGTAATAGCTAGCGGCATTTATAAGGGTATAGTGCAACACGACAAGGACACAGAAAGAGATACGCACACAAACACAGCGCTGTGTGTGTGTGCGTATCTCTTTTCTGTCCTTGTCGTGGTGCGCTATACCCTTATAAATGATGAACCCCTACCAACTAGCCCGGCAACGTGTCTTAGCTAGCGGCATGCAACGTTCGTGAATGCTTCAAGCCTTAACGGCGTAAGTTTGTTGAATTAAGATGAATAAATAGCAGTGTATTCCTATTTTGCAGTAGAACGCATAGCATTTTTTGGCGTTCAATTCATACTGATTCTGGGGGAATTGGGAGAACACCAATTACTTTTCCTTACGTGTCGTAAGAGAAGCAAGTGCTTGCTCACAATTGCTTTTTTAGTTGGGTAGGCGCGCATTCTATCCAACACGTTTCTTGCTAACTTAACAGTAGTGATACAGACATGTCTCTACCACTGCCCTCAGGGGACCTCAAAGCACGAGCAATATGACTTGCCCGCATGGTTCATTCGCCTTCTGCAGTCAGTAGCAGCTTTTCGATGACATTTAATAGCTCTTGTTTGCTTTTCGCAGCTGGAAAGTATGAAGAAGAGTCTGTCTGACGCCAGAGTCGAACTACAAATGGAGGAAAACGAGCTAAAGAAGGAGATGTCTACACTTAAGGTGAGATAACCCTTATTCCTTAAGTTTCAAGTTCCTAACTACGGCCCGAAAAAAGCAGCTTTTGCCGTGTACGGACGCTCAGCTTCATTCTTTCGAATCGCTCATAAAGATTAATTTTTCACTTCACTGTGCATTTTATTGAAATACCCTCTTTTTCGAGACCTGAATGACTATCGAATAAAACAAACGCAATCTGCGCATACTTCACGCAATACTTCACGCTCGCCTACCACGCAGATTCAGGTCCGCATCTGTCAGCTCTGAGCGGGTACCGTGCATATGGACATTCCTCGTGTACATTCATATCGCTTTTATAACTTTGCGGTAGCAGTTCACGATCGGTTTACTCCGCAACTAGTTTCACGAGTTGAACACGGCGCTGTCGGCGCGTTGGTGCACGTTTTTAAATAATGCAGCCGTCGCGCCTTCTATGAGGCTAGCACTTCACAAACTATGGGCATTTACTGGTGAAATAGTGTGAAATCTTAGCAGCACAGTATAGCGTTAATTGCAGCAGACCACAAAACTGACCGAATTCATGTCTATTTTACCAGCTTTCTAGAGCGAGGTGATCATCGGTTTTTCTACATTTATTCTCAGCGCAGACAGGTTCGAGTTAAAACACAGGCCGTCACAGACTTGATACTGATGCCCCCGAATAGCTGATACAAACACGCTACGAAACTAAGCGTTCGCACCTTTCATATATGCGGGTACGTCGTTGGTGGCGTAGGCCTTCCGTTGCTTCGGGGTTTTTTCGCCGCCCCCTGTTGCCTTTCTTCTTCCCTAGTATTTTCTCGTACGTATATTACGGCAGTTCACGACGTCACCGTCGCTTCGCAGTCATTTGTTTTTGGGCTAACTGTGGTCTTTATGTTTAGTTGACTAGTGCCCGGTAGTAAAATTCACCTCGTTTGTGTGACACAATTGTTGGACTAGCTGTTGTTTTCTTCATTTTTACTAGACCTGTGATGATAAGCAAGACTTACTCAATTGCAGCGGCGCATACTCGTTTATGATGACGATGATATTGTTGTTTATAAGGCAAGAAACAGCTTCCCTGCTAAGCAAGCGAGAATAAAATATTCTTGAAGAAAATCATGCACGTACAAAAGACTACTTCAGTAAACTTAAGCAAGCACAGAATATCCTTCAAAAAACTCACTGCAAAGACGCAATGTCCTTGAAGAAACTTATGCAAGGTCGAAATCTCCTGCAAGAAACTCATGCGTGGACAAAATATCTGGCTGATTCCAGGTACTTTGAAATTATTGAGACGGGGCCCTAGTGTGCGAGTGCGTAAATTGAGCAGTTATACACCTATGGGGGGATTACTAAGCACGCTGAGTACACAGCCGTGTAAAGGGTACCTCATGGAATAAAGTAGGGCCAGCACTCTCGTTAGGGTGACAACGTCAGTTTCATCATCTAGCAAGGGGCGCTACAATCATAGGCATTTTCACGTAGCACATGACCTTGGCTTGCACAGTCTTAGATGCATATTTGTAACTTCTATTTCAGTTTATTTAATAGGGAATAGGCAACAGCGCAACTGCAGTTTGAGTTGTTCTCTCTCTTTTTAAAGCAGCTTGAAACACTCACAGTGAGTTTGTATTAGAACACTGATTACCGTACAGATTGCCCGAATTTGATTCCTGCTTCAATCGGGGAAACTGTTCTTGCTTTTCATCGGCACTGTAGCGAGAGAAAGAGACGTGATGATATTGGCACTTTATTAGGATTGGCAAGTGAAGCGGTGTCGGCTGCCGGCGTTCAAACCGCCAAGAGCGAGAACCTGCTCTAACTAGCGCGCGCCTTGAGCTACCAGCGTCAGCTGCGTGAGATGTGCGGCGCTGTAGCTAGAAAATGATAGTGAATATGATGTTGAACGTTGATAAAGATGACGCGACAGTATCATTTTATATCGACCACTTCATCAGCGCCGGGATCTAATTTTCTGAGGGAAAGCTCACTGAGCTTTTCATGTAAGTATTTTTTCGAAGTCTGGCTTAATATAAAGTAAATTACTTACGGCAGGTACATGCACACGTCGAATAGTGGTGTGAGAATATCTACCACACTTGACTGGTGGGAAGGATTTTATGTTGTACGCAACCCGGCGATCGCTGAACACCTAACTCATGTGAAATCCTGCAAGTCGCGTTGGTCATACGCGCTTATTCTCCTATGCAAATTACGGCGTATACATTGTGAAGAAGACAACTGTGAGAGAGGCAATAGGCGGCAAAGTAGACAAGCAGACAGAGAGAAGCGGTTAAAGTGCCGTTGGTTGTCCATGAATTGACTCGTCTTTAAAAACAGAGCTACAGCAAACACCAAAACAGAATATGCGAGCTGCGTATGAGGTAAGTTTACTAAGGTTTGGGCGAAAGGGATGGGGAAGCAGCTCATTATAATTTGTTGTAGTCACTTCATTATTCTGCTTTCAAGCTGCAGTTTCTTCGCTTTTTATTAGGGATGTGTGTTGATTCTTGGTTATATATTCTGGGGCATTAGAACTGTTTGCGCTAGTAAATATCAAGCATAGAAAGGTGAAGCTTATCTAAAGGAACTGTGTAAGGTGAAAAAAACTAAAGGGTGGAGGAGAGGAGTTTACACTTGCTGTAGAATGCTTAAGAAACAGTCAAGATCTCAGCGGCTTAACGTGGCTTAACACTTAATGGCTTAACATTCTAAAGCAACAAAGTATTTGTGGTACAACTGATACTAGCTAGGAAAAAAGAAGGAGACAGGATACGGCGCCCTATCAGTACTGGCACCCTCTCTTGTCTCCTTTTTTTGCCTTGCTACTATCAGTTGGGCCACAAATATTTTATTAGGCTGTGCAGCGACTCCCTTAATGTCAAACAATCTAAAGCAACTTGACGCCTTTTTGTCGTGTTTTCCCTCTCTGACATGCCCGAATTGAAAAAAAAATTCCACTTTGGTCTCATGCACTAAATTAACTAATCTTTTGATGGTATATTTCGGGAAGTATAAAGAAGGTGAATAAATGCTTAAGTCGTCTGATGCTTGAGTAGTTTTATACATGGATCCGAATTTTGGCTGGACAGCATTTAATTCTTTTTTTGATGAGTCACTAACATGCTGACACACGCCGCTTATTTTCTCCCGCGCGAATGCAGCGAGCATTCATCAACTTTCACACATGAAAAGTCATACAAGTACCTGCACTTATTGCTGGAAAAGAAAAAACAAAGCAGAGTAGTTGTATTAGCTACAGAGGCCGGCGAAGTCAGTGTTTTGCAGGTTTCTCTCGTGTCTCATAGTGCCCCTACCTACCCCATATGATAACGCAAGAGCTCTAAACGAATACAAATAAGCATTACCGTCGCGAAAAAGACGAGAGACGTCGACCACAAGAGAAAAAGGCTAATCTACTGACGTTTCAGTACTGACAAGATGAAGTGAAAGTAAAGAAAGCAGAGCTAAGCGTCTAGCAGATGATTTACTTTTGCTTATATAAAGAATAGTTATCCTTCCATAACGTTTATTGAAAACAAGGCTTTCGTCGTTGATTGTCGAAACATCAGTACGTTGCTTTATCTCCTTGTGATCGGCGTCCTTGTCCTTTAATGAGTGGTTCTTTCTGGCCAGACGAGTGTCCGTCGGTCACTCTGATTTAATTTGAAAATGTTCTTGATATATGAAAATTGAACTCAGTCTCCTTCGTAACCAAATGCAGTATAATATGCGCGAGACAGCGATGATGATTCAGTGGACTTTGCCAGAGTTATCGTTTCTGTGCCATCCTTAGCCACTTGCACCTAAACTAAAGAACCTCGCAGGAGGTGATTATAGAGAAAGATCGAGAACTGGCAGAGCAGCGGGAGCGGCTGTCTACCATGGAAGACAGCTACGCGCAGATACGCCTCGACGCCGACCATTCTACAGTGAACCTGCTGAGGAAGGTGAAGACATGATACTTCTCTTTACTGTTTCTATCTTTATTCATTTGTAATTTTATTAGAATAGAGTGATGCTGAATATTTTAGCTTTCCCGTCTGTATTTTTGTTCCTCATGATAAATAGCTTCTGTCTACTGTACCTGTCTTGTTGGCTTCTTCTGTTTCAAGCTAGGTTACCATTGCTATACACACGTTTCTTAAAACAAAAGGAGTGTTGTGTATCACAGATCTATCCATTAATTTGTGTGTTGGCATTTAAATATGCGAAACAAATACTTTTTTGTGGAATATCATACAGAGTGAAACCTCGCTGATGTGGCCCTGGTTTATCCGGGAAATTAGATTTTATGTCATTGAACAGTGAGGATTTGTGAGCAAGATGGAAAACTGGGCTAGTTGGTGAGCATTCATCGTGGTTAACAGCGCGAAACACCCGGACAGGAGCGATAGAAGGACACGGTACAGCGCTGACTTTCAACTGAAATTTTTATTGAAAACACGAGAATATATATATAGACAGAACAGAAGACCTCGTGACCAAACCAGCCCCCTCAATCGATAAAATTATACACGGCGACAAGGCTTTGTCATGTGCACGCAATCTTGCCACAAAATAACACATACTTCAAACTATAAGATTCCAACGTCGCCAAGAAAACCGGGCATGAGCAGACGAATGAACTTTAGCCACTATCTAACAAAGATAATTCATTACCAAGTAAGGCGATAGACGGCTGGCTAACGCATTGAGACCCTTTCTTATTTATAAAAAATGCCTCCATAATTTCTCTTGAAAGCTTGTCTGGGTGCTTGAAGAGTACTTTTGTTTTTTCAAAAAGTGGGTGGCATCCACATTCGCGGCAATGCAAAGACAAATGTGAATGCGCAAATCCTTTCAAGGAACTGTGGTGTTCCCTTAGCCGTATATTGACACAACGCCCGGTCTGACCAATGTACTCTCGCCCGCATGAAAATGGGGTTGAGTACACGACATTCTGCATGCACGGGAGCACATGACAAAGCCTTGTCGCCGTGTATAATTTTATCGATTGAGGGGGCTGGTTTGGTCACGAGGTCTTCTGTTCTGTCTATATATATATTCTCGTGTTTTCAATAAAAATTTCAGTTGAAAGTCAGCGCTGTACCGTGTCCTTCTATCGCTCCTGTCCGGGTGTTTCGCGCTGTTAACCACGAGGATTTGTGGCTATTTAATTATTTTTTGATAATACCCTACAAGCTCCGAAGAGCACTCCGAAACGTCTTTTAATCGCAAAGTGGCAGAGAGAGTTCCGAAACGTCTTTTAATCGCAGGGTGGCAGAGAGAGTTCTTCAGCACCTTAAAGGTTTTTAACGCGAGAACATGTACAGTGACGTGGACATTTTTTTAAATATTTTTTGCGATAGCAATTATATGGACACTATCGGCTAGGTTTTGCCGCCGGCGTCAGCTTTCTTTATTGTATAAGTATCTATATATATATATATGAAAATGCAAGAAAGAAAACAACAGAAAAAGGCTCCGGCGCGAAGAGCCGCCGAAGAGCACGTCCTTCAACGTTCAAATGGCAAGCTATATATGCCTACCACTCAACGGCTGCTGACGGGCATGTAGAGGGGACTTGTGTTTTCAGCATTACCGGCAAGACTGCGCGATGAGCGCGCATTGCCACATCCCACGGCTCCGCGCGCTCTAATTTGTCAGGCGTGCTTTGCCCCTCTTAGCAGAGGACACTCTCTCGCACGCCCTTATCTCGCGGGAAGGATCGCACGTCTTGGCTGGCCTCGGGTTACCTGGAACGATTCAGCTGCAGTTACTGGGTGCACATAGTGACTGCAATCATTGCAGTCTCCATTTGCGAAAAGCGCACGCTTTTCAGACACAGCGAAGTAACAACTAAGGCAGCTATTCGCGTGCACCTGTACCTGTGAGCAGAGCACTGCACGGGCCGTTTTTTCAGGCCCGAGCCCGGTCCAAAAACATCTGGCTGCGGCCCACCCGAGCCTGGTCAGTTGTTTGTAAATACGACCCGTACCCGGCCCGGGCCTGAAAGGCTTGAGCCCGGCCCGGCCTATTTCAGCCAGATATGCCTTGGACATGAACGAGTCACTGTCCATTCTTTGGTTATTGTGAACATACCTTCCTCACTCAAGATAAATTCTAGTGAGTGTTTCGGAACTTCTTTAGTGTCACGCCAGTTTCATTGGCATACTCTTTGTACTTTTGTTGAAGTAGGCCCATAAACCTTTTGAGAAATATTTGCAGGGTAATATAAAACATAATTGTAATCATAGCCATGGCTGTCTAACGTACACCGTGCTAACGATGTTGTTTTTGTATTTCAAAAAACGATTACAAAATATACTGCCACCATGAAGTGAAAAAATGTCAGGCATTCATATTGTGAGTGTACATAAATTGAATGCGAGCCAGGGCTCTTGAGTAAAAGAATCGAATCTCTGGAACTTCATTGGTTATGCTACACAATAAAAAACACGCTCTAGCTACTTCTGGGATAAATACACCAGGCTAGACATCGTTACATAAATTAAAGCTATTGCGTTGGCTTCTCGGCTGTCTCCAACGTACACTATGTTGTCTACTTCAATACAAGGTTATTTCTCCCACCCTTCTTCCGCAAGTCCCCGCCACCAGAGTTTCGTGATCAGTCGCAGTGACCCACACCCATTAGCAAACAATTAAGCCACCATCCTCATTGTTCCTTAAAGATGCCTATTTTGTCGTCTTCTCGTGACTGCTTCAATTTTTTTAAATAGTTATATTGTCACGTAAGAGTGAGGGTAGCCCGAAGACAGGAGACCGGGAGGCTAGTAGAAATAGAAGGAGATCCGTTTATTTGGCGGACTTGCGCCCACTGAAGGAAAACAGACACATCGGCTTAGCGGGTGGCGAACAGCGTGTTCGACGGCCGTCGGGGAACAGAATGTTCCACTGGATTGCAAGGCGCGTTCACCATCCGAGATACAGTCACCGTAGCGTCTGGCGCTATCTCGTTATCAACGAATAGTCGACGTGCGGGCCATGATCAGTCGCCGTAGCGTCTGGCGCTATCTCGTTATCAACGAATGGTCGACGTGCGGGCCATGATCTTCGCAGATGAATCGCGGTGCATCCTGGAGCACGATAAGGCCGCGTGCCGGCGGTATCGGCATGCGCAACACTATCCGCAATACGCCTCGCGGCATTGCTCTCCTCCTCAACGTAAGCATCGACCCCATGCTTTGTTTAAAATAAAACCAAAACAAAAGGACAGCCTGTGCGAAGGTAAATGTCAAATAAGCACGAATCACGCACACATAAACAAAACAAGAGATGCAAACAGGGAGCCTCCTTTAGCGCGCATGATAGGGCTTCAAACGGGCGACGTGTACCACTTCTTGTCGTGCGCGGCGTCGTTGGGATGAGCTAGCCCCATCAGGGACCACTTCATAGTCCACTTCACCCACTTGACGGATGACTTTGTATGGGCCGAAATAACGGCGCATGAGTTTTTCGCTTAATCCTCGGCGGCGAACGGGCGTCCAAATCCAGACTCTGTCACCTGGCCTGTATGTTAAATCGCGTCTCCGCAGGTTGTAGCGTCTTGCGTCGTTTCGCTGCTGGTCTTTTATGCGCAGACGAGCAAGCTGCCGGGCTTCTTCTGCGCGCTGAAGGTAGGCGGCCAAATCTAGGTTGTTTTCATCGGTGACATTAGGCATTCAGCATGGCGTCCAGGGTAGTAACGGCATCCCTCCCATGGACGAGATCAAATGGTGTCATTTTAGTGGTCTCCTGCACCGCGGTGTTGTAGGCGAAGACCACGTAAGGCAGAATTAAGTCCCAGGTCTTGTGTTTTGTGTCCACGTACATAGCGAGCATATCGGCAATGGTCTTGTTCAAGCGTTCCGTTAGACCGTTTGTCTGAGGATGGTACGCAGTTGTTCTTCGGTGACTTGTATGCCTGTTATTAGTACCTCAGGTGCGCCATGACGGAGGAGAATTGATTCGTCAAAAAATTTGCCAACTTCTACGGCTGTGCCGTTCGGAAGGGCCTTATCTTCAGCGTATCGGGTAAGGTAATCAGTGGCCACTATGATCCACTTGTTACCGGATGTTGACGTGGGGAAAGGTCCAAGCAGGCCCATACCAATCTGTTGGAATGGTCTCGACGGGGGTTCAATTGGCTTGAGAAATCCAGCTGGTTTTGTTGGAGGTCTCGTTCGGCGCTGACATTCACGGCAACTCTTGACGTACCGCGCAACATCTGAGGAGAGGCGGGGCCAGTAGTATCGTTCTTGAATTCTGTGGAGTGTGCGTGTAAAACCGAGGTGGCCTGCAGTGGGTTCGTCAGGTAACGCTTGTAAAATTTCTTCTCTGAGGCTGCTTGGGACGACAAGAAGGTAAGCTGCTTTATTCGGTGCGAAGTTCTTTTCAACTACCACCCCGTTTTGCACACAGAAGGAGGATATCCCACGCTTGAACAGTGCAGGCGGTATGGAGGCCTTTCCTTCGATGCAGTTCTTCTACTGTTGTAGGATCGGGTCTGAGCGCTGCGGTAATGCAAAGGTGCTGCTGCTGATAGGTCCAAGAAAGGCATCGTCGTCTTCATGGCTTGGTGGTGCGTCGACAGGGGCTCTTGAGAGGCAGTCTGCGTCGGAGTGCTTACGACCAGACGTGTAGACGACCTTCACGCCTAACTCCTGAAGCCGTAGGCTCCATCGATCGAGGCGGCCAGAAGGGTCTTTCAAACTGGCCAACCAGCACAACGCATGATGGTCCGTTACGACCTTGAAGGGTCTGCCATACAAGTATGGGCGCAATGTCGAGGTGGCCCATACTATTGCAAGACACTCCTTCTCAGACGTGGAATAGTTCACTTCCGCTTTCGACAGTGAGCGGCTTGCATAAGCGATGACGCGCTCGCAGCCCTTGTGCTTCTGAACGAGAAAGACACCTGAGCCGATGCTGCTGGCGTCTGTATGTATCTCAGTTTCGGCATTTTCAT